GGAGGGGGGCAGACGAGTTTCCCTGGTGTTGGCCAGAGTGGCCACCAGGGAAAACTGGGGAGGGCTAGCCTCCCACTAGTTCGAATTAAGGGGCTACACACCCCTTAATTCGAACTAGTAAGTTCGAACTAGGCTTAGTCCTCGTAGAATGAGGTTTACCTAGTTCGAACTAAGCGCTCCGCTAGTTCGAATTAAGTTCGAACTAGCGGAGCGCTAGTGTAGCGCCTATCAAAGTTAATTTGAACTAACGTCCGTTAGTTCGAATTAACTTTGCAGTGTAGACATACCCTGACAGCTCCAGAACTCCTACCAGAAACTGCTTTAAGAAAGGTTCTTAAAAATCATTGTTTTAATTATTGGTCAGACTGCCATAGAAAGCTGAACTTTGTTTCAGACATTTGCTGCCTATTAATAGACAATAGATTAGGAAAACTAATAGCTGAATTAGCAAATAAAAGTTTAAAAAAGAGTCACATATCTCATGGTGAGTTGAGAGAAGAGGAAAAATAGTGATTTCTGCAATTTTTGGCTAAGGATGTGCTGTAAAAATCAGAAATATTACTTGGTCTGAGGAACAAGTAATAAAATCAACAGAAGATAAAAACCTTAGTAAAACAGATAAGACTAGAAAGCTTCATAAAGACAAACATGCCTGGGCTAAAAATCCTTGAGAGAAAAATAAGGGGCATAATGAATTAAAAATCAGATGTGAGACAAGCCACCAGAATTTACCTATAGTTAGTTAATATACATCAATAATGACAAAGAAAAGGAAAATAAGTAAAACTAGAACGGCACATAAAGGGAAATCAAGAAAAAAGTTAACAACAAGAAGAATTTTCTATGACATGATGCCAGCTATGCTAATAAAAAACAACTTTAGTTTGGGGATACAAAATACACTTAACCAACCCATATACGATAGATAGAAAAAAGAAAACAAGTCCAAAATAAAATTTTAACTTACTACTTTTGTTCAAATGCACACAACCACTTCTATCAAATTAAAAATTAATAAACCCTTAGAAATCAAGGAACTATACTAGGCTTGAGCATGTTTTACACTACAGGATGAAAAACTGAGAGTACATTTACCCTGAAAAGGTAACTCCCACAATACATTCCGCTACTTATAACCTATAAATCACACATGTGAGTTATGATGCTGGGAAGCACTTCCCTGCCTCTTGCAATAATTGAATGCCTTCAAGTAGCATTGAGTTGAGAGAACTCAGCATCTCTCATTAACAGGTTGGTCCCATAAAACTGCCTCTGTTCATCCCAATGAGGAACAAAGGAGAGTGGGAGCAAAATTAAGAATAGCTTTCTGAAGAAAAATGTGAATCTGGTGGGGTATACAAACCCAATACTGGGATAGAAGGAGCAGTTCTGGGACTAGGAGGGGACCTTCTTGAATTTTGGTACGTGGTCATGGACTGGCTTCAGGCCACTGGAAGGGGTGGACCCGCAGGTGGAAGGGGTGGGGCTGAGAGCTAAGGAGGGAGAGAGAGTGAGTGTGAAAGAGACACACTGTGTGTGAGACAGACTTTGTGACACAGATTGAGTGTGTGTGTGGCACAGAGACAGGAGTGTGTGTGTGGCATTCTGTGTGTCACAATGACTGTGTGTGGGGGGGCACAGAGACATTGTGGCACAGACAGGGTGTGTGTGATAGTGACACAGGGGGTGTGTGCTGACTGCTGCTGGGTTAGTTTCTAAGAGATGCCATGCACTGCCTCTTTAAGAAATGGAAAGCTGTCCTGCTCTGTCCAGGCGCGTGTGAGTGGGTGTGTGTGTAAGAGAGAGAGAGAAATCTTAGAACAGTGAACTGACTCTTAAGACAGGCACTCCTCTGAGTCACTTACAATCCATGCTTCAGATTGGAGCAGCCCTGCTGTGTCTCCCTTCCTCCCCAACCCCTGTTCTGTTGAGATGGGGTACAGGGGCAGAGGGACACTCTGACTTCAGCACTTCCCTCCACCCAGCTCTGCGCAGCTAGCAAGAGAATCCTGGGAGAAGCTCGGCGAGGAACAGAACAAGGTGGAGGGGAGGGGCAGCAGAACACACGCTACTGGCTGGAAAAACAACAGGAAAAACTATGTAGCACTTTAAAGACTAACAAGATGGTTTAATAGGCGATGAGCTTTCGTGGGCCAGACCCACTTCCTCAGATCATATTCTGGAACAGAATTGAATTGGCATGACTATATATACCAAAGGAACACAATGAAAAAAGCGAACACTTTTTTCATTGTATTCCTTTGGTATATATGGTCATGCCAATTCTGTTCCAGAATATGATCTGAGGAAGTGGGACTGGCCCACGAAAGCTCATCGCCTATTAAACCATCTTGTTAGTCTTTAAAATGCTACATAGTTTTTCCTGTTGTTTTACCAAGATCAGACTAACACGGCTACCTCTCTATTACTATTCTACTGGCTGGAAGTATGCATGCTCTGCTAGTCAGCTGGGCGTGCCGGAGAGAAATGCTTGGTGGACCAGATCCGGCCACTCTGTTTTATTTTGCCCATCTCTGGAAAAGGGGATAGAATGGCAGGGGAACCCAGGCTCTCAGGACCACCATCAGGATGGTATAAACCAGAGATGGGGAACCTTGTTTGGGTTGGGGGCTGCTGACCTACAAAAAAATCAGTCAGGAGTCACACACAAGTGAGAAGCAAAAACAAACAAACAAAACACACACCAAATGCTCACTGAAGTGGCCCCTGCCTGAGAAGGAGAAAGACACTCCCTACATTCCCCTCACACACCAAAGCCTGGTAGGGTTCCAACTAATAGATTTTGCCCTACAGGAGGGTGATGGGTGGGGCTGGAGCACCAACACAGGCTCCCCTGCTGGCGGTGAGGAAGCCCTGAGCCTCGGGGGCCAGATCCAGGCAAGCCGAGGGCTGTATCAAGTCCCCGGACCTTAGCTTCTCCATCCATGGTATAAACCTTTCCCCGCTTGAGATAAGGAGATTAAAGCTATTGTAAGCCCTGAAGTAAGACTGTGAGATCTTGGGGGCCCTCGATTGGGCTAAAAACTCCTTTTTTGGGGGAGGGAGGAGTTGGACTTATATAATTTTTTGGACTCTGTGATCCCAGAAAGGGATGATTTCAAGAGTTAGAGGCTGGAGAGATGTTAGCATCTGTGATACTAAAAGACCAGGTTAGATCAGGGTCCCAGGAAAATTCACTTGAGTATTACTATAGAGCAGAGTAATGTAGTAGAAGTGTCTTTCTATCTCCTTCATTTATCTTCAATAGGAGTATTACCTGTGTAGATGCTACAGAATTTAGCTAAAAAAATATTATTCATTAGAAAGGGAGAGAAAAGTTGCATATGCTCAATTTTGATGAGGTCTTTACTGTGCTTGCAGCTTTATAAAATATAAAGAATGACATATTCCTACTAAATAGCATGAATTTTAACAACAGCCTATGCTTAAGAGCTGTAGTGAAGGAGTAGTGTATTTGAAAGAAAAAGTTATCTGTAACAATTCTGTCAGTGCAATGACTTTATATAATTAACTACAGATATCTGAGTATCATAATAATACCATTTTCTACGTTTGAGCACAAGAATGAAACAACTCAGAATTGTTGTGTGATCATATATTTAAACTTAATTTGTAATAGTACTCATAAAACACATTTCAGAATGACAAAACACCTGAGAATTTTTACTTGATGTACCTCAGAATGGAAATTGGCCCAAGCACCCTAAATTTGGGGAAATTTTTATTTTGATCCACATCTGGATCAAAATATCACAGAAAGTATCTCCATACTGATCTGAATAGAAATCCCAGGTCTTAAGTGAACTGAATTTGGGAGAAAATTGGATCTAGAGCCTAACTTTTTAGCTTGGTCCCTTCTCCATTTTAAATTGAATTTGTTGTGTTTCTTGACTTCTACTCATAGCTGTGTTAATTAAATATCAGAAGGAAATCTCCCCCTCCCACAACAGAGGGGGGCATTACATTGTGCTGCAATACTGCTTTGCAACTAAAGCAAGGACGAACATTTCTATTTAAAAAGCTTTTATTAAACTTTTCTATAGTGTTTGAGCAATTTTCAAAGACACCAAACTACACTGATCTCAGAATGTTTCTTTATATTGTGTCTGATGAAAAAATTAGCAGCAAAAACAGAAGTTTTACCGCTGGACCACACATTTAAAAAAGCTTGAATTCCTATTATTTCCTCCTATTTGGATAGCTCCATGTTTTTCCATTTGTTTTACGAAAGTGAAAGGAATGTCAGACTGAGTGTAAAAGTTCATTCTCCATATCAAAGAAATTGATTGTTTTTCACCCTGACATTCCACTTGAAACTATGAAAACCATCTGTGAGGTGGGGCACAGATTATTATTTGCACAGATGGTCTGCAAGAGCATTTTGACTTTTGATCTAGAAAGAAATAGGAACTTGGGTTACCACCACGGACAAGGCAATGATCCATAAAAGGAGCACTTGCAAATCTTACATTAATCTTTGGTTTATACTTTTTTAAAGCCAACAGTAGGAATTAAATTTTCCTAGGCAAACTCAAGTATATTTGTAATGTGAAAAAGTAAACATATTAGTTATATGCAAATATGCAAGTGTTTATATCACATTTTATAAAGTAAAAAAAAAAAAAAAAAAGCATTAAGCAAACTCCTCACCTCTTGACAGCCTGATTCTTCCTTGGACGTGACATTTTCAAACCATCCTTCTCTTTTACAAATGTAAAAATATTTATCCTCACAATTTTTAACTTTCCAGCGTCCTGCCTAGTAAAAAAACAACCAAAGAAATAAAATACTAAATCAAACACACACATACATGATTAAATAGTTTCTTTTTTTGCTTACAGATTTTTGGGTGAGACACAGTCAAATTCCCCTCACTCATTTACTGTGTTTAGTCTTCCCATTAACAAAGGCAAGACAGATGTGTCTGTTGAATGTGAAAATGAAATACCCTTTAACTGACTGAAGTCAATGGAAGTTTCTGTTGCCAGGCCTGGCCAAAGGGCTTGCAGGGCCCAAGGCAGGATGCTGAGAGTGGGGCACCGGGCTGGTGGATGGTGAATACTCAGGGCACGGGGCCCAAGTCATTTGCCTTACTCACCTTGTCCTAGGGCTGGGCCTGTCTGTTGCTAGCCTCTCTCAGAATCATTTCATAGATGTTTCTTACCTACCATGCAGTCTTGGGCTATTAATTCTTTTTCACACATATAATCTTTATTCAAGCAAGAAAGTTTGTGGGACTGTCTCCTTTGGCATTTTAAACTATTTGACATGCACAAAATGAATGTTCTAAATATTAAATCTTGTGCCTCTGTCTCTTAATATAGTCATTTATACCTGTGCAAAAGGAATGGCAAATGCCTACGTGTATCTCAATTATAATTTAAATAAATATTGTCTTCAGCTCCAAGATATTAGGCCTGATCTTCCAGTGTTCAGTTACCAAGAGCAATGCTTGGTTTCTGCTGGATTACTCCCATCAGTAAGGATTGCATGAGGAAGGGTTGCAGGACTGCAGGGTTGCCCATGATTACAGGGACTAGATTTTGTGCAAAGTAGTGTATTCTTTGGCAAAAACATACTTTATGGTAAAACCTGAAAATGGTGTTGTATGGTATGAAGGAACGAGTTTATTAGTGGGTTAGAGCTTTATTGAATTATCCTTTGGCCAGATAAAATACTGGCAAATGTTTTTAGGTATTCTTGTTTGGCTAGTAGGAATTGTAATTTACCTCTTTTTTTTAAATGTATGCATATTGCTCCCATTCTGAAAATCTCCATTAGATTTGGGACTCAATCCTGCTGCCACTAAAAACAATGGCAAAACTTCCAGTGAGCTGGAGTGGGAGTAGGAGTGGGACCCGGACTACAGAGTCTGTTCTGTTCCCTAATGGATATTTTTACCAGATGTTCCATAAACTGTTATAAATGCTGAGAACTGAGAGCAACATGAAACCAGCGTACTGTATAAAAATATTCATTCAGAGCTTTTAAAGTCAATAACCTAAACACAGTGAATCAAGATGCACTTTATATGGATTTTAAATTATTTTCTCTTCACTGGAATAAAACCTCCTTCCCCCTGGTTTTTGTCCTTTTCCATTTGGCAAACATTGCATTTGTTCCACTTCTTGTTAAGGATGAGACCCAATGGCTGTAATTCATTCTTTGTTTTGTTTGTGCATCATTATACTTTTCAAGACTCAGAGTCAAACCACCAACAGGCGACATCATAAAGGTGGTTGGAGATGGAAAGATATAAGCATATTAAAAAGCCTAACAATGATCACGACCAAGATTGATTAACATAACTTTAGTTTTAAAGGAAAGGAGAAAAGAAAACTTACAGATCCTTCTGCTGAGACACAAAGTTGACTTGTTTTCTGAAAGATATTTGGTTCTTGCTTATGCCAGTTAGTGAAGGTTACTAAGGAGCCATCAGACCATTGAAAAATAACGAGGTTTTTATTACTGTTCAAGCCAATCCATGTTTCAGTCACATTTTCTGAAAAAGATATTTTAGATTTAGATGAAGCAGAAATAAAAGCCAATTATTTCTATATAATAGCACCTTTTAAAAATGTAGGATTTCAGTCAATGTCCTCTTTTTAGTTTTGAAAAATTAATTACACAAACTTTTTGAAAATTTACTCTAGGGATATATTTCTGTTTCACTTTATAAAAAATATGCCTGTCAAGTAATGTGATGTTATGGTCTGCAAATGATCATACAAGAAGGAGAAAACATGGTATAGAAAAGAAAGTTGACTATGGAGTAAGTATCCTTTTCCACTTACTCTCTGCACCTGGGAATTAATGGGAATTCTGCTCTACATGTCTGGGGTGAGGGGACATGACATCTTAGGAAGAGCCACTGTAGGCTCCAACTGAGAGAGGAAAAAAGTATCAGACACATTACTTTGAGCAGCAGTTCTCACTCCATAGCTTTTGCACAGGGATTATTATTGAATTACGTAAAACCCCATGCTGCCATACAGATGTAATTTGTAAAGTATAAAAAATAGATGCAAAAATTCCTGAGGACTTAAGAATTGGGCAGCAACAGACCATAAATTCCAGTGATGATTGAAACGGATGGTATTGTAAGCACAGTACACACTCTCTCATCGCTTCAGACCGACAAGCCTGGAATTTTACTCTATAGATGCTTCAGAGCAGTTTGCAGGCACCAAGCCAATAGTAAAATGAGAAGGTCAAGAATAAGACTGCAAAGGGTTTATTCAGGACTTGCTCAGAAGCTAGACTATACCAAGATTTATGGTAACAGGATGTTTTTTGTACAAGATATCTTTACTTTTTGCTAGAATTACTGGCCATGTCACTTGACCTTCAGACTCTGATGCTAGTCCCACTTCTTAGAGGAACAGTGTTTTCTGAAGCCTTACCAAAGGGTTTAGTGCTCTTCTTTTGCATCAAGGGGAGAATATAGCCCTTTGCTATCTTCATACACCTACTTTTTTTTTAACATAATTTCAACTGTGTTCATTGGGGTAGCAGACGAGATATATATTTCATTGTTGCGAGGATCCTAGAGGGAGCAGGCATCATAAGTTCTTACTCTATCATATGTCTGTACAAGACAAATAATCATGCCTGAGTCATTGGGAAAGCTATCATTAAAAGAACTTAATGAATCAAAAATAATTTGGCTATTAAAAGTAACAGTTTAAATTAAATCTCCAGCACTCACCTTGTTCTAGAAAGTTAATAAGTAACTCCAGTTCTGCCAAGGAAGTTATACTAATAAGGCTGCTATTATCAGTCTGGCAAGAGAGGTGGGCCTCATTCCAGCTCTTTTCCTCTTTGTGAAGTTTGTAGCAGTTGAGATTATAGGAATACCAGCCAGGATTACAGTTGGTAGGATGATACTTCCATGAATCTTAATTAAATAATAAAATATAAGAAAATGTCACACAAAATTAATTTTAGGCTATACTCTATTGTTTTAATAAAAAAAGTCACAGCTATTTTTTAATTTTCAAAAGAAGAAGTATAAAACCATCCAAAACTACAAGGTAAAACCAGAGCATATCAACAGTAATAAGTATCAAAATACAAATGCTAAATATAGATGATTTTACTGTAAAAACCAAAAAAAAATCCATCAAATGAACTATTACCATTGAAAGACTTACCAAATGTTTCATACTCAGCACTACTTCCATATTTTTTGCATCCATAAGGCAATCTAGATTCACACTTGTAACTTTGCCAGTCATACTGCACCTTTGAATTAAACACCATACAGTGATTTTCTTCAGGTGGGCTATCAGTGAGATCTGCAAACAAATTTTTTTTAAAAAAGGTAAATTAACCACAGTTTACTTTTGACTTGCAAAACAAGCTTATAGTTGTCTACAGGTTTTATCACAGTGACAAACAACAAGCCCCCAGTAAAGTAGAACAAGTTTTATTGCTCAGAAGTGGGTGATGCAGAGGAAATGATTGAATTCACAGGAAATGGGTGGCTGAACAGCACCAGGTAAGCAGGGGATCTGACCTGACCCTGGGTGACCCAGGACTTGAGCCTGTGGCCCTGTCCTCCTCAGGTGGGAGCCCTATCTGCTGGGCCACCTTGCTGTGGGTAGGTCCTTTATCCTGCCTGCCCCAATGCCTCCTGACCTGGGACTTGAACCTGTGATGCTGTCCTCCCCAGGTGGGAGCCCTATCTACTGGGCCACTTGGGAACCCACCCCTCCACCTTACCACGGGTAGGCCCTTTATCCTGCCTGCCCCAGCGCCTCCCAACCCAACCCCGGTGGGATAGGGCTCCCGCCTGGGAGGGGGTCCAGGGGCTGGGCCCAGTTGCTGAGTGTATCGTAGAGTTGCCAGGTGTCTGGTATTTTCACCTCTTGGCAAGGAAAAAAACCCCCAAAATACCAGACATTTTTAGGTGTCCAGTATTTTCTGAAGTTTTCTTACTGGACAGGAGTCAAAAATACCGGACTGTCTGGGTCAATACCGGACACCCGGCAACCCTAACAGCACAATCTATATTTGTTGTTGCATGTTTGCTCACCGAGAGCTATCCCATAAAATACCTGAAAAGTTCTATGTCCATTTTCTGTGGAAATTAATAGCCTTGAAAGATGGGATGAGGCTTGTCACAGAGGATGTCATATTAATGTGAAACTAATCAGTCCAAATACCCAATAGAATGTATTTAAAATACCCTTTAATAAGTCCAATTCACTAAACTCTCATCTACGTCACTGGAATTTTGAATATGCTTCCAAACGAAAATGCAAAAAAGGCCAGTTCCCTTACAAATCTCAGTTATGGAGCGCATATAATTACAGTGCACTAATATGGTTAAAGAGGAACATTATGTACTTGATCTCCAGTTCACAAATGCCAATGGTGCCCCATCTGACCACTGCCAGCCAGCACATTCATCCAGTCTATTTAGGCCTGTCCATAGCAGAATTTCTTTGGTGCTTAACTTCTCTGAAATAGAAAAACATATAAAATGAGTTGAACATTTCAGATGCAGCTATGCTATTCTGAGCTCTCATGATGATAAAAAAGCAAAACTTAAAACAAGCCCCCAGAAGGCTTAGGAATGTCACTAGCATTTAATCTTTGCTCTTGAAAATGTTCTATTTCATTACTAATCAGTATCATACTACCAGAGAACTTAACTCAGCCAGTCACAGTGCAGGGATAACATGATTTCTTACTCATAAAATACAAATAGACCAAAGTTCAAGAAGTGCAAAGTATGCAAAACTGTCTCCTGCAGTATCATTCAGTGTTATTGCTCTTAGAACTCACAATATCCATGTCAACAATAACACGATTTCTTCACATTCCATCCTGTTTCAGCTTTTTCTTCATCATTATGAATAAAATATGATTTTAAGGCCAATTATGTATAAAATATTCAGTGCCTTCACCTGCAAACTGTAAACATTTCAAGCCCTGCTGCAATATGAATTTCAGAGAGTTTCCTGTTAGCCACATTCTATACTGAATGTGATAATTGTTGAGATTCCCTCCAAGACCTCTTTCCACTTGGCTTCCCAAGAACTCAGTTTGACTCCAGACTTTGTCACTAATCTATATCTTTAATTGGCATATGCAGCAATGGTATGCTAAGTTGATCAGGTTAAAATGTAATGAGGATAGATGCAGTGTACATAGAAACTCTCTCTCTCTCTCAATCTCTGTGCGTGTATATATATATTTATACATAACTGCATTTACTATACACTGAATCACACATTTTTTTATTGGCTTCGTTACTTTGCCCTATCCTGACATTATCTATCCTGACCTCTTCTTTGCCACCTTTCTGCATTCCTATCTTATCTTGTCCATCCTTATCTTGTCTGTGGCTACCTGGTTGTCTTCCCTGTTATCTTGGCTGGCCCAGACTTTCTGTCTTTTTAGCCTAATGATCTGTTTGCCTCCAAATTATATTTTTCAAAAAATGAGGCCTCCTTCCGTGTATTAATCACTCATTTCAGATCAGTTCTCAGCTATATCCCCCTGCTTCTGTCTGTTTTATATTAGCATTCATTTCATCTGCATATTCCTGTCTTTCTGTGCTTTTTTAAAAGTTTATTATCCAGCAACACGTGCCTAAGACCACAGTAGTTGTAATTATTTGAACCGCCACCAATATTAGGCTTAAAGTAGGAACCAGGGCATGCAAGCTCATCTCTTCTGCTACAGCCAACCATTCCTCATCAATATCATCCACAATTGTTTGTTGCTTGGCTATTAGCTGGGCATTGGACACAATCTGCTCTATTTTCCTTTGTACCGAATCAAATACCAGAGGCAGCAGAGGGGGCAATAGGTAGCCAGTCTGTGAGGGGAGATGGTTTTTAAAATGGCTCTATATCAAAGGCAGCAGCATGGAGTGGCAGGGGGCTCCTCAAGAGGGGGCCGGAATCACTGGGCTGCCGCCCGCCCCCCCCCGAGGACTATAGAATAGTTGAGTAACCAATAAGAATTCATGAGGTTAATCGACTATTCAATTAACCGACATTTAACATTCCTAGTGGAACCATGGTATCACTTTCAAACCAGCCTCCACCAAACCAGTAAACAACTGATGATAGTATAAACTATCCATCTGGCTCCCATGTCACTACAATTAGTTCCTAGAAGCACACGAATAGGGCTGAAATTCCAGTGCATGCCACAGTTTCCTAAATCCATATCAACTGACTTCTGTTAGCTGGGTTGTGTCTGGCACCGATCAAGCAAACATCAAGATGCTCCTTTAGGTTCTCTTCCAATTTGCGCCACAACCCCATCTTTACCAACCTGTTTCTGGGCTCAGCCAGTGTGGGATGGCCACCCACAGTGAAAATATGCACACAAAATAGCATATCTTTTCACATATCTCATGGTAGCAAGCCATTTTCTGATTTTACACCTAAGGGTACGTCTAGACTACATGCCTCTGTCGCCAGAGGCATCTAGATTAGGCTACCAGGCATAGGAAAATGAAGCGGCGATTTAAATAATCACCGCTTCATTTAAATTTACATGGCTGCCGCGCTGAGCCGATCAGCTGTTTGTCAGCTCAGCGCGGTAGTCTGGACGCGCGGGTGTCAACATTAAAGGCATTTGTCGACCACCTAGGTATGCCTCCTGGAATGAGGTTTACCAGGATGGTCGACAAATGCCTTTGATGTCGACACCCCGCGCTGAGCCGACAAACAGCTGATCAGCTCAGCGCGGCAGCCATGTAAATTTAAATGAAGTGGCGATTATTTAAATCGCCGCTTCATTTTCCTATGCCTGGTAGCCTAATCTACATGCCTCTGGCGACAGAGGCATGTAGTCTAGATGTACCCTCTGAGTCCTTCTTCTATTACTAAATCCAGCTACCTTCTCTTGCTCCCAAAGTCCTAGATCCAACCCTTGTTTCAGAATGTTTAGAAGTCACTCCACTTTAGCTTATGTTTGTTTCTGACACTGAATGAGCATTGAATGAGCACTGGAGGTTGCTTCCAAAGTAGTCTCCCATGGCCAAGGAGGTCCAGTGACTGCTGCATCCTTGGCTTCCTTTTTTCCTGTGCATCTCAATTTTAACCAACCAATATCTGTCAAACTGCTTGGCAATTTGCTACATTGCCAGGATTTGCTACATACTAATAAATTTCATTTCTCCTCCCTCAGTAGCCCAGTATGTCTTCTGAGCCCACCAGGCTAACATCAACACTGCTCTCCTGAACACACAATCTGAGTCCAGAACTATGGTCAGTTTAGAGTGAGAGCCCTTTACTTTCATCAATACATGGATAATTACTGCCACCTCTGCATACCGAGTCAATTTACTGCCACATTTATATTGTAAAGTGTTTATAATCTTGCCACCCCTCAGTTTTACTGCTTGCCAGACCTTTCTTCTGTCCTATGCCATCTACATATCAAACTTGCTCTTCTTCTTTAACCTTGCCAGCATAAAGTTCGTTAAAGACTGTATACCAGGATGCCAGAGGGGTTCACTTCACACTAATGTACCATCCTTCCTATACAAATTCCTGCATTCTGTTACTTTGATTCCTTAAGCTAGACAGACTCCCTATATTCTCTATGCAAAGCCAGTATCCATTTCTAAATTCTTTCATTGCTCTCTTACTAACCTCATACTTTTCATTCTAGCACTAGCTATAAACATGTTTTGCCTGTCCACCAGATATTTGTACATTATAATAGTCCACTGTGGTGTCAGCACAATTTTCTCACACCAGTTATACTTTAGTTCAACACTCTGCTGCACTTATGTAGCAAATGCCACCAGCTGATCCCAATCTTCATATTTCTGCATGAACATAATCCCTATATTGTTTGGCATTACCAATGGGTACATAAATATCTTAAATCTTTGCCAATACCAAAGCGCTCCCCAAAAGCCTATTCAACTCAGCCACAGCTTCCATGTGTTCTTCCTGCCAATCCTAATGAGTTGCCATCGTCAATTCATACAGTGGGCTTGCTGGGGAGAAAACTCCCTGTAAAACCCTGTTATCTGAAGATAAGATTGTGAGTCTGTTAAGTCTGTGGAGATGGGGAGTTTGGAGATTCACTCTGCCCTCTGGTGGTCTACATTTTGTCCCTTCTTACCTATTCACACCTCTTTCCTCACCTGCTGTGTTGTTTCCACTATTCATTTTTAATCCTGATTGCTGCAGACACTGCAAGACCTCAAACAGTTTAATCCTGATTGCTGCAGACACTGCAAGATCTCAAACAGATCCATCCTTCTTATGTTCCTTTTCCATAAGAAATTGAATCAATGTGTCATCAGTGTACTGGATGAGTCTGTCTAGCTGAGAAAAGTCCTGGCGATACTTCCTCATGTGAGCATGGAAAATGGATCTTTGTACCCCTAGGAGAGGACTGTGCATACATGCTGTAAAAGCCCCATGCTGTAAAAGCCTCCTGTACTGAGACTTTGAGGCTAGGGATCACAACCCATTTCTAATGCCCAGCACTGAAAATCACTTCATTCTATGAGAGATTTTTGCAGACATCTCTTAGTAAGCTGTCACTAAAGGAGCCACAGATTTTGCCCTATTATTTATGCTCCTGTAGTAGGGGTGGATAAATATGGGCTCTAAGGCTGGATCAGGTTCCCCAGGGTTAGACCCTGGTGGGCCACCATATTCATCTGTTCCTCTGCAGGTACTGGTGATTGCAGTTCCCGTTGGCTGCAGAGCACCATTCCTGGCCAATGGGAGCTGCTGGAAGTGTTGCCCACCCCACACCACTTCTTGAAGCTGCCATTGGCCAGGAATGGCAATCCACGGCCAATGGGAACTACACTCTATAGTCAACACAAGCTTGGTACTGGCAGCTGTTGATACTAAGTTCTTCACTGGGTGGTGAATCCATATCTTCACACCATCTTCCCATGTGCTTCAATCCTTACCCCACTCTCTTGTGGAGATATAAGTTTCATAGTCAGCTATCATCCTGCTTTCTATTTCAAGATCATACTTTTGTGTTTATCACACCTTTCTGCCTTCTCCTAGAATATCATCCTTTGTCCTTTCAATTCTTCACTTTGTTTCAGAAAGTGGTTGCTGGCTCAGATGGATTTTTATAGCTGAGTGCTGTCATCCCGCTATTCTATAAGCAAGTCCCGCTTGCTCTGTTGCTGAGACAGCTTGCAGCTGAATTCTACATTCTGACCTTGCAGACACATCTGATGGGTTTCCAATATCTGGATCTGGTCCCAGAGGACTTGCAGAAATACCCTGTGTTCTTACACTGGCTTTGTAGCTGTTCCTACATCTTAGAAACATTATACATTTTTCTCTGTAGCTCCTGCTGTAACTTTAGATTACAAAGCTGCAGAGATGTCAGCACCTCATCTTTGCACTGCCAGATCGCCTCAATCTTAGTCCTACTGTCAATGTAAAGAGATTTCTTTTCCATCTGTAGTTGCCTGCAACTCTTCTGGTTCTCCTTTAACTCCTCAGTGAGCTTATCTGTCTGTTCTTAGAGCCAGGGGCTCTTCGTCTGCTTCACTATCTGCAGACTTCGTAGTTGCTTATTTAGCAGACTTTTTTTTCTTTATCTCCCGTTTTAGACCCATCTCCATGAGTAGCTGCTTGACTAAGTGGTACTGGTGTCTGCGTCCTACCATTGGGATGGATCTCTCAGTCACTTGTGATGCTTGTCAGCTCTCTTCTCTTTCAGCTTCAAATTCTTCTGCATGGCACTGTATCATCCATCCACAGTGTCCTGGCTGGTTGATGGCTTCTGTCAATTAATTCCCTGGCTCCCTTAGCTGCTTGGTGGCCAACAGCCTGGCATTATTTGAATCAGATAGCTAAGCCACACTGTCTTCACCTCTACACAGTGAAGGAAGATCTGATTTGGACACCATCATATTTTCTGTCAACCTAGACTCAACGTCTGCTGTCCTAAACTGATTCTCCCAAGTTATGCTATTGCTTTGACTGTGTCAAATTCAAGCAACCCCAGCCTCAGAGCTGTTTTCCTTCTAAAATATAGTTTCCCTGATTCTTTGTATTGGCCATCACCATGACTGGTCCCTCCCAGTTAGGCTCTGTTGTGCCCTTCTCACTTTATTCTGGTGTCCTATCCAATGATTGGAGTATCACATACCATTAACTGTTGGGCTTCTTGAGCCCCATGCTATACTTTCTACTAAGGAGATTTAGTTAAGAGAGTAAAAACAGTCATATGGAGTCTGACCAATGATTCATCTAGACTAGTATCCTGACTTCTGACAGTGGCCAATGCCACATGCTCCAGAGGGAATGAACAGAACAGGTAATCATTAAGTGATCCATCCCCTGGTATCTATTCCCAGCTTCTGGAAAACTGAGGTTAGGGACACTTCAGTGATGGGGTTGTATCCCTGGCCTTATTAGTTAATAGTCATTGATGGATCTATGCTCCATGAACTCTAAGGGTGCATCTACACAGCACCCTTAGCTTGAAATAAGCTACGCAAGTTGCATAGCTTATTTCGAGTGTATTTCAAAATAGTTCCGCAGTGTAGACGTACCCTAATTCTTATTGGAAACCATTTATGCTTTTGACATTCACAATATCCTGGGGCAATGCGTTCCACAGCCTGATTTTCCATTGTGTGAAGAAGCACTTCCTTATATTTGCTTTAAACATGTTGCCTATTAATTTCATTGGCTGATCCATGGTTCTTACGTTATGTGAAGGTGTAGATAACACTTCTCTATTCACTTTCTCCATACAATCCATAATTTTATAGACTTCTACCATATCCTATCTTGTCTCCTTTAAAACGGATTACCCCAGGGATTTCATTCTTCTAGACCTCAAACTATGTTTTATCATTCTCTTCAACAGGTATTGAATCTTTGTTATCTGAGAGCAGGTACCCTTTATGGTCTTGACCTCCCCAGATACCTCAGTACAATGCAGAAGCCAGTGATCTACTCTGTCTATTTCTCCTGTGGTAAACCCAAATTGTGTGTCCCTCTTGACCATAATACCAGCACCCACCTGGCAGCACCATCTGACTTGCTTCCCTTTGTGGTCTGCAATGACTGAGCCTATGTGGACAGTGCTGTGGCTGATGGCTGGAATGGGTGCTTTTGGGGTTATCATTATTACTCCATCTGTATATCTGGGACATCAGACATCTCATTCTTGATGCAGAGGCAGTTGAACTTCTGGTACAAAGTTGTAATCAGGGCATTCACTGCTTGATAGCTTCCTAGTAGCTAGTTGTGGTATGGCATAAGGATGTTAAATTTAGATTAATCAACTAATCGAATAGTTCCCTCAGGTACTTCTATATCTCAAGGCCGCCTTCTTCAATTCTCTGGTTTCAACTAGGGATGTTAAATTTAGACCGATCAACTAATAGTTGATGGAATTTGCATAGAATATTTGATTAGTTTAGAAGTGTGCCTCTGCCTTTGAAATGTAGCCCGCTGGCTCCTGCTACATTTCAAAGGTGGAATCACCATGGGGAGCACAGAGTTAGCGGGGAATTCAAGCAGTGCCCCATTGGCTCCATACTCCCTGCTTTTAAAATGTACAAGAGCCCTGCCAGTTCCCTGATATGCTCCTATGCTCCTGCCCCCTCCCCATGGTGACAGTGCTAGAGGAAGCCATCTTTTAAAGGGATGTAAAATTTCGATTAATTGGCTAATCGAATAGTCGATGCAATTTGCATCAACTATTTGATTAGTCAATAAGGATGCCTCTGCTTTTGAAGTGTAGCAACAGTCCCAGGGCTGTTGCTACACTTCAAAGACAAAAGTGCTGAGGGGAGCATGGGGCCAGCAGCACTCAAGCAATCCCCCGTTGGCCCCATGCTCCCCATGGCATTTCACAGCAGCAGTGCCGCATGGAGCCCCGGATCAGCCGGGAAGTCCCCAGCTGACCCCGGCCTCCACGCAGTGCTGCCACTTTGAAACGCTGCATGCAGTCTGAGGTGTTTCACATCAGCAGACCCCAGGCTGCACATGGCGTTCAAAGCAGCGGATCCCAGGTTCCATGCAGCACTGTCACTTTGAAATGCTGTGTGCAGCCCAGGCCATCAGGGGACTCCTAGCTGCATGCGGCATCTCAAAGTGGTAGTGCCAGATCCTGGGCTCCATACGGTGCTACCACTTTGAAGCACCCTCTTCACTTCCCCCTGCCTTGCTACCTCGTTCTGATAGAGGCAGGAAGGGGTGGGAAAGTGACTAATCAAGTCACTAATCAACTATCCAACAACTATCCAACAAGCATACGCCAAGGCCTTAGCAGTGATTCCCCAACTTTTCAGCATCATGCCCCCTTTTTGATTTTTGAGAAACCTTCATGTCCCCTTTTTTGTTGAGCAAAGAAAAAAAAAAAAAAAAAAAAAAAAAGAACTGACCGGGGCCAAAAACCAAAATAACAGCAAAATTTAAGGGGGGAGGGGTGTATGGGGAGGCTGAGTCACCTCGTGCCCCCCCTGGAATTTCTTCAGCCCCCCCCCCAGTTTGGGAACCCATGCCCTACAGCTTCTTTCAGTTAAGCCTACTGGGCTTTGATTGGCTGCTTCCATGAGGTGTCTCTGGTCAGGCCTGAAGGACCTACCTTTTCTGCCCCTTTCCTGTCATTTCACTGCTTCCTGGACTGGGATGCAGTAGGAGCATATCTACCAACGACATGGGGGGGGGATAAGTGTGTGGATAAAGGGGGTAGCTGGGTCCTCTAAATCGCTACTGTGGTACCAGGTGGTGTGCTCTGGGCAGAGATAAGGGCTGGCAGGGTAGGGAGGGGAGACAGCAGGGAGGGAGTAGTGCTGAGCACTAGTTGCCTCCAGTCCCTCCCCTTCTGGGAGCACAGAGCCAGGCCCCATCCACCTTGCTCAGATCCCGGAAAGTGTGTTGGCTTCCCTGAGTAAGACTACAGGGATAACTTTATGGAGCTGCAAGGCTCCAGCACCCATCCAAAAAGGCTTCAGTTCCAAGAAAGAAATAAAAAGCCACATTGCAAACTTCTTGGGAGGGGAAAGAATTATTAACATAACTACTTCCTGGAGTAACATATACATAAAGTTTGGACTTGGTTTGTTAAACCGAAACTCAGATCTGAACTTCTCCCAAGTCTGGGGATGTTTGGATCCAGCTTTTGATTGATGCCCATTTCTACTAAAGAGCAATATTTCACCCACAGAATGAAAACTTGGCCCTTCTGAAATTAATTGCAGAACTGCCCAGCTAAACAAGCAAAATATATATTTAAGTAAGTTTTAATATAACTGCACAGCTGCTCACCACTTATATACTTCTGCTCTGTCATGTCTGTGATACTCAGCAAATCTCCTCCTTGTGTCTGACATGCAATACGTGCCTCATTCCACGAAAGAATAGAAAAAAGATTGAACTGATAGCAAATGTGGGTGTCAGGGTTCTTCTCCCAAAATATGTCACAACCAGGCTCTGCGTGAAAATCAGTTAAAAACATGACAGAAGAAAACCAATTACAGAGATAAAAGTATAACTATCTAGTCACTTAATGTTGAGCACCAAATGGAAATGTCATCAAAGCATGAGTTTGAATTCATTATCAATGTTCTAGTGCAGGGTCGGCCAACCCATTCTGGGCAAAGAGCTAAGATAGCAGTGGATACAGCGCAAAGAGCCAGGGCAAAGTTGTCGAACAAAACAAAACAAAAAAAGCAAACATGATTCCGGGATGCATTAACAGGTGTGTTGTGAGCAAGACACGAGAAGTTATTCTTCTGCTCTACTCTGCGCTGGTTAGGCCTCAGCTGGAGTATTGTGTTCAGTTCTGGGTACCGCATGTCAAGAAAGATGTGGAGAAATTGGAGAGGGTCCAGAGAAGAGCAACAAGAACGATTAAAGGTCTAGAGAACATGACCTATGAAGGAAGGCTGAAAGAATTGGGTTTGCTTAGTTTGGATAAGAGAAGACTGAACGGGGACATGATAGCAGTTTTCAGGTATTTAAAAGGGTGTCATAAGGAGGAGGGATAAAACTTGTTCATCTTGGCCTCTGAGGATAGAACAAGAAGCAATGGGCTTAAACTGCAGCAAGGGAGGTTTAAGTTGGACATTAGGAAAAAGTTCCTAACTGTCAGAGTGGTTAAACACTGGCATAAATTGCCCAGGGAGTTTGTGGAATCTCCATCGCTGGAGATATTCAAGGGTAGGTTAGATAAATGTCTATCAGGGATGGTCTAGACAGTGCTTGGTCCTGCCATGTGGGCAGGGAACTGGACTCGATGACCTCTCGAAGTCCCTTCCAGTCCTAGTATTCTATGATTCTATGAAAAAGCTCTGCCCCTTTAAGAAAACACATTTAAATGCGTTTTGAGGCTTTTTGGCCACAGCAGGATTCCGCAGCCCAACTCCATCTTTAATTCTACATCTTTCATGGTCGCTCCGGATGGCTCTCCTGCCCGGGTCAGCACAGGAAGCCGGGAGGAGAGGGCCATTTTTGGAGGCACAGGGGTGGCTTACGAGCCATGGGGAGGGCTTCGCGAGCTGCACCTGGAAGGGGAAGAGCCGCATGCAGCTTGCGAGCCTTGAGTTGGCCACAGCTGTATTAGTGTAAAAATCACACAAGGAATTAGGATGCTAGTGACTTTTAAAAGAGAAAATGAACTGCCCAGCTTTTCACAATGTTAGCAAGTATTAGGGGCAATGTTCCCTCCAACCAGCAGCACAGCTGCACAGGTGATTAATCAGACCTGCTCAGTCAGCTCTGAGCAGGAAGCCCTGAGCCTCTGACTGGGCGGGGCAGATTTGTGAAGCTGTGCTGCTGCCTAGATTAGAAGGAACTCTGACTAGGGGAAGGTCCTCACCTGGTGTAAATTGTCACAGCCCACTGGAGTCAGAGCTATGACTAAGCTTACTGGTAAAACTAACTCATAGTGAACTTTGTTGGAATATGATGAACTCACATCCCCATAGCTGGAGGGGAAAGGCATTACAGCTCCCAAGTGCCCAAGAGGACTCTCTGTTAGGTGATGACCATATTATAAACAGTTACTAAGCAGTACTACCAAGCTCACTTGCATTAAGATTTGCTGACATTTTCCCATTCTAAAACCCTGTTTGCAGTTATTCATAACTTTGCTTAACCATTTTGACTTCAATTTTCCACATTGCATGTCTCTCTTAGGAACAATTTTTTTGGGAAAATGTTAGCCAAAGTAGTTTAGCTGTTTCCAAGAATATGTAGGGGAAAATATGTTGTTTTGCATAGGTTAAGAAATTCTAGAGGCCTTTTCTTTCAAAAAACTCTAGTGTCCGTAGGCTTTTGGCAGAGGGTGGTCTCTGGTGTCATGATGTGTATTTTGCCATCCTTGTGGGAATCTTCCTAAATTTGGATGAGTTTAACCCTTTGAAAAATTAATTTGCACCAGCTCAGAAGAGACTTCTTAGATTTTAGCAACTGAATTCTCTGAAGATCCTACCAACCCAGGATTGAGCAAGACTATTCCTGCAACTGCAGCTCTGGGCTGTGTCAAGTCTGTATCTAGGCACCTGAACTGAGAGAGCAGGAAGATTGTTCCTGTTATGCCCAGGCACTATGGAAGAAGAAGATACCTGATTCAAATACAGAGGGGATAGGAGTCTGAACTAGGGGCAAAGGGACAACTGACCAGGAAATTGGCAGTTGGTCAGAAGGAAACTGAAAGTTCGGACTGGGAGGAAGGGATGTAACTAATTGGGCAAGGAGGCTGACACTGGAGGAGCTAGTAGGTGGAGGAAGACTGAGATCAGATCAGGAGCTGAGGTGGGAGAGATTGGGTCAAGGAGCTGAGCATACAGGAGACTGTGATTGGACAAGGAAGTAAAGGAGGGAGATCAGGAACCAGTGAAGATGCTGAACAAATGCGTGGGAATGTGTGAACTAGAGGCCGTGAGTGAGGTCAAGGGGAAAAAAGAAATCAGATGAAAAGCTGGGAGTAGGGATAGTAGCAGTAGGTAAGAAAGGAGACTCCGAACAAAGAAGGGGATGAGGGCAATGATGGAGTAAGGAACCTGGAACTGAGGGTGGGGAGGGTTGAGACTAGGAGTCCAGGGAGTGAGATGGGACTTCCTGGGCAAGGAGACCAGGACTGGAATGAAATGTTTGAATGTAGCAGAGCCTGGGACTATAGAAGTGAGGCGAATGGAACTGGGATGAGGAAGACAGCCATAGAGAAGAAACAGAACTGGGACAGGCTGGAGATATGGGGCCCAAGGGGACCACTCTTGTGAAGAATGAGCAGAAGAGTATATGCCTACTAAAGAGCATTCCCTTCCAAAGCTTGGAACAGAACAAGATCCTTGAATTTCACCATAGTGTCCCACCATAGAGAATGACTAACTACTGCAATCAGTTACTCTGTTAGGTCAAGTGACAGGGTTCTGCTGGTGGGCTTAAAGGTCCCAACCCTTCTGATCATCTATGTGGTTGTCAATATGATGCCACCTGTTGGAATTTCTGTTTTTAGTTTGTTTTTAAAAATTGACACAAATTATATTAAAAGAAAATTTAAAGTTGTACAAACTCAAAAGATAGGAAATTCCTGGAACTTTAACAAATATCAGCCAATGTTCACTATAGATCTAAATATCTTAGATCCAAATACTGAGCCCATTGAAGATGGTGCATGGACCAAAAGCAGTTTAAAAGGTGTGCTGCTGTCAATAAGAGTAGAGGCCCTGTAAAAAATGAATCATCATCCACCACATGCTAGATCATCTGGATCAGTGGGCTGGTAGAAGGGGAGGGGCACAGTCCGTGGGCATTCCTTGAATTCATATTTTGCTCTAGAGATCTGGATTTGAGTCTCAGAGGTATGCATAAAGAACTATGGTAATGACTACAATTCTTTTAACAAATGTCCATGCTATCGGAATGGCAGTGATCTTGCAATTCATAAAACAATCTGCTCTCCTTGTTATTTACAAAACAAAGAAAGGTAGTACATACCAGCATTTGGGCAAAAACCCCATTTTTCATCTTGTTCATATTGACTTGTTGTGGCACACCAGTAAAATTCCCTGCTTTCTCTGATGCATTCATAGTACCATTTCTTCTTATATTTAAACGGAAAAATACAAGGCAAACCAAGAGAATTGCCCAACAGGGTATATGTTTCTACAATAAATAAAATAAGATGAATCAAATCACATATTAAAGAAAAGGAAAATCTGTATCAATCAAATACTAATTACTTTTCTATTTTTTTATTTATACATATCACAGCAACGTTGTTATTAAAACTACAGCAGCATATATTACATCATCAAAAGTTTATTTTTAAAAGTTTCATTCAGCCCAAGACTTTCAGGCAATTTTTCAAAACTGTGGCCATAATTTACTACTATTACAATGTATATGCAAAAGTAAGTATGCATACAAAATCTGCATTTGCAATTAACTGCATAAAAAATGTCCATTAGCATAACACATGCAATTGTCTGAGTTGCACAAATGCAGGTTTGGTTTAGGGATGTTAAAGACATTTAATAAGGTAACTGTGTAACCACTAAAAAAACTCACCAGTTACATGGTTACACATGCTACAGGCTCTTCAGTATGAAGCTTAAATAAGCTTCATACAGCAGAGCCCGCAGCGAAGCCGCTTCCCTGGGAGTGGGACAGAGTTTAAGCAATAGCACTTACCAATGAGCATCAGCTTATCGGTTAACCAGTTAATTGGTTAAACTCTAACATCCCTAGTTTGGTTCACTCAAATTCTTTTAGATATATTTTTAAGAAGAAGGGCTTTAAACATCATATTGTTATTTGTTCATAAACAATGCCAAACAATTTAACATAAATATAGTAGAATTTTATGGATTTCTACTGCTTTTGAATGTTCTTGTTTAGTCTTCTCCTCTCTAGTTCTTTGCCATTAGAATTTTAGTAAGTGTATTTTACAAAAAGGAAAAAAAATGTTTTACAGTGTGAATGGTAACAGTCTGGCTTTGTGGAAGAGTAAGCAGTGCTATTGGATTTCATTGTAAATTTGGCTGATGCCTTACAAAACAATCTAAATATTTTCCTAATACATTTTCATTAACAAAATGTGGAAATCAATCAATCAATCTGAAAGCTGCAAAGAAACCTTACCACACTAAACTTCAGTATAGGGGAATTTTTAAAGCACCACAATTGTTTTTAGCATGAAACTAATGTTTGTGAAAGGTGCTGGACTGATAGTGAGGAGACCAAAGTTCTCTTGTCTACAGATTAGGCATCACCTCCACAGTATTTGCTGTCTGTTCCAATAAGGGTGGGAGAGTAGGTTATATTCACTAATGCAGGGTTGGGGAAACTTTTTTGGGGTCAGAGGCCGCTGAATCACAGTAAAATCAGTTGGGAGCCGCACATAAGTGAGAAACAAAACAAACAAACAAAAGACCCTAAAAAAACCCCATAAACAAAAAAACCCACTCCTCACTGACAAGGTCCCTGAAAAAGAGAAAGACACTCTTCATCTCTACACATTCCCTCACACACCAGAGTCTAGGGGGCCCCCAGGTTAGTAGATTTTGTGTGCTCCAGACTTGCACTGGAGTCACAGGGGGACTGGAGTGCCAATTTGGGCTCCCCAATGCTGGGGGTGGAGCCCTGAGCCTCGGGGCCTGATCCAGGCAAGCTGAGGGCCACATCATGCCCCTGGACCTTAGGTTCCCACCCCTCCACTAATAAATCTCATTATAAGCCCAGCAAAGTTAATGGACAGTGTGATAAATATGGGAAACAGCTGTATTATTTGTATGAATATTATACATACCTCAGTCTATTTGATTACTATCATGCAATTAGTACTGGATTATTAATTATTATTATTATACATCAACAGGACCCCAAAGTAGCATCTCACCAGTACTTATGCAACACACTTTTGAAGATTTATTCCCATCACACTCTGACCAACAATCTGGCTAGTAACCCCAAGAAGCTAGGGGAATCCAAGTAGGGGAAAATGAAACGCAGGATTTAGGATGGAGTAAGATCTCAGCCAGTGTTGTCTTCAAGTCGTCATTGTCAAGTCCAAGTCAAGATTCAAGTCACTACAGTTCAAGTCTCAAGTCAAGTCTCAAGTCCTCAAATTCACTTTCGAGTCAAGTCCCAAGTCGAGTCTCAAGTCTTAATTTAAAAAATGTCAAGTCACTTTTGTACAAGCCATCAATATCAGCATTTTCGGACAATTTTTTCACCAAGTTGGTTTAACAAAATTAACAGTCTCAAGTTGAGTCTCAAGTCACAAACAGTGAACCCGAGTCGAGTCTCAAGTCGAATCACCTAGGTGATTTAAGTTGGACTCGAGTTCAAGTCGTTGGACTCGAGTCAACAACTCTGGTCTCAGCCCTCAGGTTCAAAAAGAGGTAGTGACTGATGAGATGACACTTCTCCTTTCCCAGATGTTGGAGAACAGAGATGAACGAGGCCCAGTGTTCTCAAAAGCTGAGTGCTTGTGCAGCTGCTCAGGAGCAATTCAAACGCCACCCAGCAGCATCCAGAGCTCCACAGCTAGGTTTTGTGTTTCTATTGGTGGTGCACATTTGCACATGCCTTGGTGCACATAGATGGGAAAGATTAGAGGGACTACTGACCAGGCCTACATAAATTTTGGGAGGAATGCTAATCTTCAGTAAGATGATGTTTGGTTTTTGTTGTTTTAACCTAGGGAAGGGGGCTGGATGTGGCACCCAGCTTGCTTGGATCCAGCCCCTAAGGCTCAGCACTGGGGAGCCCACACTGGCACTCCAGTCCCCCTGCCTCTGCACCATGGGGCTGGAACACACATAATCTACTAGCCTGGCCCCCCCAAGGCTCTGGTGTGTGAGGGAAATGTGGAGAGCATCTTTCACCTTCTTTGTCTGGGCATGTCTACTCAGCAGGGCTAAACTTGAAATAAGCTACATAACTTGAGCTGCGTCAATTGCGTAGCTTAAGTCTAAATAGTGTATTTTGAATTTGGACATGTCTACACAGCACTTATTTTGAAATAGAGCACTCTTCCCCCAACTTCCCTTACTCCTCATACAATGAGGTTTACAGAAGTTGGAGTAAGAAGCCTGTTATTTTGAATGTATTTCAAAATAACAGGCTTGCTGTGTAGACGCTCACTACATTATTTCAGAATAACTGATGTTTTTCTGAAATAATGCTGCTGTATAGACATGCCCTCAGGGACCATGTCAGTGAGGGGTGGGGTTTTTTTTCCTTTTGCTTCTCACTTGTGTGCGGCTCCTGACTGATTTTTCTGTAGGTCAGCAGCCCCCAACCCCAAAAAAATAAGGTTCCCCACCCATTTTAACCCCTTTCTTTCTGATTGCTATGCTTCTACAGGTGAATAAATACTATTTCGTTTTGATGAAGCTGTTCAAACTCACTGCATTTTTATGCCGCCTAGAGCTCCCAACAGGATGTCTGTATCAGGGGCCAAAGGCTAGTTGAACCTGGTTGTTAAACTGGAGTTTTGGAATCTGGAGAAACAGCCAAACAATGAGTTGAACTATAGGTGACACAGAGAGACTGAGTGAGGAGACACCCTGCCTCCTCCTGCCCCTGCTCTGCCCACTATCTTTTTCTTCCAGCCCCTCCCATTGACTTCTATAGCCTCTAAACACCATGAAACAGCTGTTTCACAGCAGTTAGGAGGTACTGGGAAGGCAGAGGAGAAGTTGGTCAATGGGGCCCCTGGCAGATGAGAGGTGCTGTGGGTGTGGGAAGCAAAGGAGGGAGTTTAGTTGCTGGTGGGTGCTGATCACCCCCTAATTTTTCTCGATGGATGCTCCATTTCTGGAGACAGTTCCTCTGTTGCATCTCCTGGCTCAGGTGCTACGAAGGGGAAATATGGAGTCCATATCAGGTGGAAGATAGAGAAATCCCTTCTAAACATTTGTACACACCTATTTTGTGTCTGAGGTTGACTTTTTCCTCTTGAAACAAATGCATGCACTGAATTGGGGGTAGGGAGAGAATGATAGGATCTGTGAAGAATTTGAAAATCAGCGCCTAACTCAAAGTACTTTATGTTTTTAAAAAAATTAAATATTGAGATTATTTGTATGTGAGGATTTTTAAAATCATGGGGCTGCTAATACTGGGATCTTGATCCAATTTGTGATACTTTGAAATACTGTAAAAATAAGAACTAATTTAAAGACTCAGCATGACACAGATTGATAATTTGCTTCAGAGAAACTGCAAAATTCTAATGGGAATGTGGATGGAGACTATACTTTATTTTTACCTTGAAATGGACGTTCACAAAGATCTTCATCATGGGACATGTACTGCTTCCACTCATGATTAGTGATTCTTTTTGCTATTATGTGTTTGCCATTTTCAGCTGCGAGTTTGTATTCTGATGCACCAACCAATAGCTTTCCATTACAGTTCCACCATAATGAATGCTGAGTAGAATCACATTCTAATAGGCTTAAAGGTTGCTCTTCATTACTAATGTTCAGTCCTAGACAAGTGCTTCTACCTATGTTGAAAAGATGACGTTTTGATACCCATTTCCACAGCATGTATTTGGAAAGTTGATTGCAGTCTTCAAGAACAAGTCCAAATGTGTCTGCTTTAATGCACAGGTTGAGATGTTCACTTTGGATAATAAATATCCCTTTGTCTGGGGAAAAAAGAAGTTTCAATTCATGATACTTTTTAACAGATTTCTCTATATTATGCAGGACCAGGGTCTTAGTTTTGACTATCTGAATTAAAATGTGTTTAACTTTTAAAAAGAACTTTAAAATTACTCTCAAGTTACATATAAAATCATATTAAAAACTGGTACTCCAAAGAAAAAAAAATGATGGTTCCAAGATGGTGGTGGAATGAAGCTTTAAGCTTCAGCCATCCTTCATAGCCCAATGCAACTGCCCTCCACCTTTTATTTAGTACTAGTACTTCCAAACACACTCTCATTTTTGTTTTTAAGTATCCAGCATTGTGACATCCATTTTATGTTATATATAATGTTAATTACATAGGCTAAGACTTTCTAGAGCAATCAGTGATGTTATCCTCATCTGAGACATGTTAAGCAATTTCTAAAAAAATTCATGTAGCTCAAGCCGTCCACCCAAATAATGAGGCACCCAACATAATTAGTTATAAAATCTTGTCCATAGAATATTCATTGAATCATAAAAATATGGAGCTAGAAGGTACCCAGAGAGGTCATCTAGTCCATTTCACCTGCACTGATTAGGACCAAGTATATTTAAATCATCCCTGTTAGGCGTTTGTACAGCCTGTTCTTAAAACTTTTAATGATGGGGATTCTACAACATCCTTTGGAAACCTATTCTAACTATAATGGTAATGGTAGTTAAGTTCCTGAAAGAGTTTCCTAAAATCTAACATATATCTCCCTTGCTTAGATTAAGCTAATAATTTCTTGTCTTCCCTTTAGCGGACATGGAGAACAAAGAATACTTAAAAGTTCTGCAAGTTTGCAAGCTTCAATGAGAATAACTGAATCATAGAATTGAATGGAACTTTGAGAACTTCAGGGTGTAACCGAGTTAGTCTGTACAGGATAAACTTAAAAAACAACAAAACCTTGAGAGGTCATCTAGTCCAGTCCTCTTCTCTCATGGCAGGACTAAGTATTTTCTAGACCCTCCCTGATAGTTGTTTGTCTAATCTGGTCTTAAAAATCTCCAATAATGGCGATTTTGCAACCTACCTTGGGCAATTTATTTCAGTGCTTAACCACCCTGATAGTTAAGAAGTTTTCCTAATATCCAACCTAAACTGCTCTAGTTCCAGTTTAATTAAGCCCATTGCTTCCTGTTCTATCCTCAGGGGTTAAGAATACTACTTTTTCTCCTTCCTCCTTGTAACAATTTCCAAATAAAGTTTATGTCCTCTCTACAGGGGCAGCAGAGGCTTCCCAAAGGTGGCAGTGGGCCCCAGGGCTTCTGCCTCCTCCATAACCCTACCCCTGCTTCTCCTCATCCCCCAATGTCCTGCTCTTGGTGAAGCTGAAGAAGGGCCAAGAAACCCAGACTTCTCCATATGTCTGGGATGGGGAGGCCCCTAAACAACACTTCTAGCCCAGATCCCTGCCCCCAGCTCCCTGATCTGGCCAGGGAGAAGAGGTAGGTTGGGGAGGCCATGGTAAAAAGCTTTCCCACCATTCAGGTGCCCCTACAACCTCTCCCAGACTTCTCTTTTCCAGACTTACCAAACACTATATTTTTCAATCTTCCCTCATAGATCATGTTTTCTAGACCTTTCATCATTTTTGTTGCTCTTCGTTGGACTTTCTCCAATTTGTTCACATCTTTTCCTGAATGTGCTGAGTCCAGTTCTGGGCACTACGGCTGTGTCTAGACTGGCCAATTTTTTCAGAAAATAAGCCACTTTTCAGGAAAAACTTGCCAGCTGTCTACAATGGCCGCTTGAATTTCTGCAAAAGCACTGATGAGATCTCATGTAAGATTGTCAGTGTTCTTGCGGAAATATTATGCTGCTCCCGTTCGGGCAAAAGTCCTTTTGCGCAAAACTTTTGCAAAAAAGGGCCAGTGTAGACAGCCCAGATTTGTTTTCTGCAAAAAAGCCCCGATCGCGAAAATGGCGAGCGGGGCTTTTTTGCACAAAAGCACGTCTAGATTGGCACGGACGCTTTTCCGCAAAAAGTGCTTTTGCGGAAAAGCGTCCGTGCCAATCTAGATACTCTGTTCCGAAAATGCTTTTAATGGAAAACTTTTCCGTTAAAAGCATTTCTGGAAAATCATGCCAATCTAGACGTAGCCTACATGAGTAGTTGAAGAATTGCTTCTTGGGTCTTGCTTACAAAACTCCTGCTAATTTATTCCATAATGTGTTTCCTTCTTTTCCACCAGTGTTATGCTGTTGGCTCATATTTACTTTGTGAGCCACTATAACCCTCTGATTCTTTACTGTAGTACTCCAGTGTGCAACTGATTGTTCCCTCCTAAATGCAATTTTCCTTAATGAATTCCATCCTATGATGTAAGACCATTTTCCAATTTTTCAAGATCACTTTACATTTTAATCCTATCCTCCAAAGCACCCTTTCCAATTTGGTGTTGTCCACAAAACTGTACTTTCTATATCATTATCTGAATCATTGATGAGATACTGAACAGAACCAGACACAGAACTGATCCCTGCAGGACTCCTCTTCGGCTATGCCCTTTAAAAATAAATGTCAAGCATTTAAGAATAGTTATTTTTCCCCCCACTCAATACAGGGAGATGGGCAAGCCTAATACAGGAAACACAAAATGTAGATAAAACAATATGCTTAGGCCATCATCCTATGCAAGAAATAAAAAAAACCCTGCCAGATTTGCAAGGGGTAAAAGGCGAACATCTGGTAAGCACTTTCAGTTCCTGTTTACTATGTTTGATACTGCTAAAGGGCATCTTCACTTCCCACAAAAGGCAGTGGGAAATTCCTCATGCTCATAATGGAGCGTTTTACTCCCACTACCAATAGCACTTGGAGAGTAGCAGGGAGTTGCTAAGAATAGGGAAAACCTTCAGTGTCCTCTGACAATACATTTAGGAGCAGAGTAGCATGAGAGGCCTACTGTCGTCCTCCTGGGAGAAAAGGAAAAAGGCAGCCATTGAGGTGGGAGTGGGGTAGCTGCATTCTCCCCCAACAAAGAGTCTGTCTTAATTGCAGAATAACCAGGATCTGCTTTGCGCAAAAGGACTTTTGCCGGAATGGGAGCAGCATAGTATTTCCGCAAGAAGCACTGATTTCAGACAGTAGGAAGTCAGTGTTCTTGCGGAAATTCAAGCGGCCAGTGTAGACAGCTGGCAAGTTTTTCCGCAAAAGCCACTGCTTTTGCGGAAAAACTTGCAAGTCTAGACACAGCCCCATAGTAAAGATGATCATTCCCCTCTCCAAAAGCAGAGGAAAGAGGAGCAGATCTGACATTCTTATGCTTATTAAACATCCTTAGGCTTCTCCCCAAACTCACAATCACTGGGATGGGGGGCAGGGGACGAATCTTCACTCTCCTCCCTAAAGTTCAGCAAGAAGCCCTGAGGACAGAGAACTTCCCTCAGGGGACTGACAGGGAGAACTGCTGTCACTCACTCCAAAAGGCAAAGTATAGAGGACATGGGGGAGCTGGCACAGTGACCAAAGGGGTGGTGACACTTTTCTACAGAACATAAGGAAGAAGCAGAGAGCACTCACTAGAAGAGGCAAGGGGTGTAGTTTTGAAAATGGAGAGCATTTCCTAGAGTAACCTGGTGAATAATTTCATTTCCCAAAGGAAAGCCAGAATCCCCTGCTGCTGCCAAAGAGCGGCCACATGTAAACATGCTGTCAGCGTGACCACACCCCTACAACAGGCTGCGTACAGCCTGCATCTGCTTCATTTATCTGGCAACTGCAGGGCAGAACAGAAGAGCAAAAGAAAAAAAGCAAAACCAGTAAGCCCGGAGCTGTTCAAAGCAGCTGCCCTTTGCACTAGTTACTCAAAATAGCTGATTACTCCACTTACTCAAAAAGTAGGGCACTTGGTCCCGACTCAAAGCTGCATCGTCTTCAGCCACGCTGTAGCAAACTAGCAGCATGGCACAAGCCAGGAGTTGGATCTGCACACTCAGCATTTCTGCAGAGTAACCGCGCCTGGCAAACACTTTCCTACGGAGTCGAAGGAGAGCACCACACTTTTCAGGGTGAGAGTTATTCTGGAAATGCAGCTGTTCCCCGGGCCAGAGCCACTCTTGACTCCTCCTCCTCCCTGATTGATGTTGGGGGAGGGACAGGCAAACCCCCACCTCCACTAACAGCAACTGCTTTCTGAGCAAGGAGGGAAATGCAGCAACCCCACCCTGTTAATCCTGTTTCTGCCTAGAGGAGGGACATGCAGCGCACCCACTCCCTCCAACCCTTGCTCAGGGAGGAACATGCAACTTCCCCTCTGCTCACTCCCTCTGCCCAGCGGCCCCAGGAAATGGAACATACGCTCTGTGCCTTGCAGCTGAAGCCTGAGGAAATGTCAGGGACCTTTCTGTAGCCTGAGGGAGCGGAAGTGAGGAGCACCCTCCTTGCTTGGCCCCCCAAAATCCCAACTGAGGTACAGGTAGCTCCCCCTTCTCTCAGGAAGGAGAAGTACCAGGCCTCTTTCCCCATATCACTAAGCAGCTTTATCTTCAGGCTCTCACACCCCAGCTGCGAGGCAAAGTTATTGGGACTTGAGTGATATTCAGGGGCCTCTGTCTGGGGAGCTGTGCGGGAAAGAGGGACATGCTGAACAGAAGGGGAGGAGGATAAAGCTTAACTTGATTGTTAGAAGGTAGAAAATTAACAGTTGGTATAAATACACTTCTAATTTTAATGGTATCAATACTTTTCTAACAGGTCGGGATGAGGTTTGTAATATTAGAAAGCAAATTCAGAGCACATACTACAGGTTGAATCTCTCTAGTCCGGCACCCTGGGGACCTGACCTGTTCTGATCCAGAGAAGTTTCTGGATCAAGAGAGGTCAGTATTGTCTAGAAACATTACTAACACTTCCACTGCTTACTAGGGATGTTAAATTTCGATTAATTGGCTAATCAAATAGTTGATGCAACCTGCATCAACTATTTGATGAGTCGATAAGGGCGCCTCTGCCTTTGAAGCGTAGCAACAGCTCCAGGGTGAAAGCACTGCAGGGAGCCCAGGGTCAGCGGAGGACTCAAGCAGTCCCCCGCTGGCACTGTGCTCCCTGTGGCATTTCAAAGCAGCAGCGCCACATGAAGCCCAGCTGCAGGGAGCACAGTTATCTAGCATAGTGCAAAGTTTAACATAAGCATCCTGACTGGCCAGTGGCCCAAGTGACACAACAAAGACATGCCAAAATAGAAGACATGGATTTGCAATCTGAAAAGCACAAATTCTGTTCCCTGTGCCCAACTGCGAGTTTTCTGAGCTACAGGAAGACACTTGTTGGAAATGGTGATGTAGCAGTTCCTATTTGCATGTTAGAAAGTGCTATTTCACTTCTGGACTTCCCCACTAGCACATATGCATATCCGAGTCCAGAATACTCAATATTTTTTTAAACCAGGTCTGCATCCCCTTTCAGCTCAGTCCATTTTAAGCTTTATTTTATTGTATTTGGGCAGAGGGCATTTCACTCTTGCCTTGCAGTAAACCTCAGTCCTTTAAGGAAAGTAGATTTGGCAACAGTTCAGAATGAGCTGCCTAGAAAATTTGGGGACTCCTCCTTCTAGAGAGAAGAATAGATAAGTCAGAGGAGAAGGCTGAATGTTTGGGCTGCAAATAGATTGGGATTTTTCTGCACCTCAATGAACTCCACCATTTCTCCCGCACCCCCTGGACAACATGCAGTGTTGCCATATTATAAGGTTGCCAGGTATCTGGTCGAGAAAGGAATCTAATGGTGTCTGATCAGACATACTGACTGGACACTAAAAGTAGAGTTACTGCAGATAGCACAGGGGGAGTGGCAGCTAGGGTGACTAGGGTGTTCGGTTTTAACCAGGCCATTAAAGTCCAATAGGCAGTGCTGCGGAGCTAAGGCAGGCTAGTCCCTACATTTCCTGGAAACGTGCTGCACCCTGGAAGCAGCTCCTAAGAAAAGGGGGGCCCCGAGGCTCAGGGTTTAGCACGCAGAGCTGGAGTAGAGGGTTGGAGTGCAGGGCGAGGGCTCTGGGGTGGGGCTGGTGATGAAGAGTTTGGGATGCTGGATGCCCCAGGGAGAGAACTCCCCAGCCCTCCGTTATTGCAGCAGCTCATGGCATCAGTTGGGCAGAGATGCCTTTCCACAGCCGCAGCAGCTCCAGCAGGCACAGCCAGAGGAAGGACACCTGCTCTGCATCTGGGGCAGGTCTGGGCTAGGCTGAGTGCGGGCTGTGGCACCTCTGAGGCAGTTCCATGCAGAGCTGGCAGGGAGAGATGCCTCTCCCTTGGCCACAGCAGCTGTGCTTAATAGGCAGCTGCACAGCTGTGAACCTTAGCTGGAATTTAGCCCTGAATCCTTCATTTCTGGCCCCACCCCACACCCTGTGCCCCCCCCACCATTTGAGCCCTCAACCCCTCCTTCAGCTAAACCACTAAACCAGTCCAGTTAGTCAGTCAAGGTGGGGTATAGCGAACCGCGGAGGGAGGGCCAATGGGGCCTCAGAGAGTGGTAGAGCACTTCATTTGTGCAACTGGAATGTTGGCAACCCTAGTGGCATCCTGTCACCTGGCCTTAAAGTGGCGGCTCCCATGGCAACAGGTATGCACCAGGTCAGGCTGCCCCTGTGAGGAGCACCGTTTGCAGGGCTGCGGTGGAGGACAGTGCCTAGACCGCAGGGCCCATGGCCAGGGAGTAAGGAGCTCCCAGCAGGCCTGGAATGTTCTCTGGGATGGATGGACACAAGCTGCTCCACCAGACAGCATTTCCTGACAATGCTCTCAGGCAGCAGGTAGTCTTGGGGGCTGCTGGACAGGCAGTGCAGAGGGAGGCAGAGGCTGCCATCCTGAAGGGTTGTATCCTAGCTTTCAAGCAGGGCAGCCTGGCTGCTCCCATGTGGCCACAGTGCTCTTATGACCTGCATTCCCTGGCTGTCTGATGGAGCTGGGAATTCATGTCTCTTGAAGCTGCTCATGTGTCATGTTGGAGTTAAAGTGGTAGAGCAGCAAGCATCAAGGTAAGGGGGGGGGGAGGGCAGGGCCAGCTCTCAAACACTTCATTTTCCAGCCAGCCCTATAAGTTCAAACACCTCCTCTAATTTCAAACTCCTGGGTCAGAACACAGATGGGTGGGATTAATATGAAGGTACAGTTTTAATCTAGGTAGACTCTTCCCTCCCTGGAATTGCTTCTCATGGGAAAAGATGACAAAAGACCATGTTTGTGTTCAGAGCATAGCTGAAATCCCTGCTTGATTTCCTTCTATTGGTGTGGTGACTTGTCATCTTCTTTCTTTTTCTTCTTCAGCCTTTTATCATCTCTCTCTCTGCAAATTAAAAAAAGGATACAAAGGAGGAAACAGAGTCATTGAGTTAGGAACCTGAGTAAAGGTCTTTTGTGGAGAATGAGAAAGCAGGAGGTCAGAGCAGGCAAAGCAGGTCAGAGCAGGGAGGTCTGTGTCATCCTCCCTGCACAGAAAGGCAAACAGATGGCTGGCAGATGAGGTAGTCAGAAGAAAGGGGCTGACTTACAGAAGTAGCTGAGGAGAATACCATGTTCTCTGGATGGCTTGGCTGATGAAAGCTGCAGGGCTCTAAGAACTGTGATGCTTCCTTTACAAAGGCTGACATTTTCAGATAGGCTCAGGCGCTGCAAGATCTCAGTATATGGGGTAATGAGCAATTTCTTGGAATCCAGCCGTTACTGAGATGTCTAAATGGGAGCCAAGCTCTTTTGGAAAAACGTAGACCCAATTCTGAGTACTAAGCATTTGAAAAATCTGTCCCCAAGTTCTTTTGAAAATTTGGAACATAATGAGCAGAACATCCAATTATCATTTGATGACCTTATTGCCTGAAATCTTCCCAGCAATGTTTTACTCCCTCTGTGGGAATTTCTGCCTTGCTCGCCCACCTGTATATTTACAAATAAAAACAGGGGTGTGCACCAGCAATCTATGAACTTTGGGACGTTCTTAGAATTTATGGAGATGTATGCAGTACTAATAAACTAGTGTCCCTGTGCCCAATGGCAGCCCACAGGAGGGGAGAGGAATGACGATTTTTTAGAAATGTGATTTTATAATCTTCAGCAGCCCACTCATGAAAGATTTTTAAAGCAGATTTTAAACTAAGCTCCTGTAGAGTAACAGTAAATTCAGAAACTGACAGCATATACCTGTGGCTGGCAAATGCCTGTTAAATGGCTTTATTACCACTGGAATAGCTCTTTCATAGGTTCCATGTTCTGCAAATAGGTCTGGCAGGCTTTTCCACTTTTAAGTTACCGTATTTTCCGGAGTATAAAGCGACTGGGTGTATAAGACGACCCCCTAATTTTTTAGTTAAAAGATAGGGTTTCGTCTTATACCCCTCAGAAGCGTGGCACCCCGCCACCGCTTCGGCTTTGCTCCTGGTGCCTCTGGTCTGCTGGGGACCGTCTCCAGCAGACCAGGGACACCGGGAGCAAAGCCTCTGAGGACGCCCCGGCAGCGGGACAGCCCCAACGCGGCTTTGCAAAGCCTCAGGGGAAGCCGGCGGCGGGGCATCCCAGGCGCGCCTGAGCTGCCCTGCCGCCGGCTTCCCCCGAGGCTTTGCAAAGCCGCATACCCGGCGTATAAGACGACCCCCGATTTTGGGGGGATGTTTTTTAACATCAAAAGTCGTCTTATACGCCGGAAAATACGGTACTAGATCTTCTTGAGAGGATGCAGGCAAGGACAGAGATAGGACGACACGGGTGATGGATCCAGTGGTGCCCCAAAAATTTGAGGTCTCTATACAGCTGCATATTATACGTATGGGTAACGATGGTCTTGCATAAAATTTTGGGTGGGGAGAGTATCAGTTGAGTGTTTAAAGGCCAGCTCCTTTTTCTGTTTATTTTAATGTAAACAGAGTATGTATCAGCAGTATGTGAAAGTGTTGAGCCCAAGCAAGAGGATGGCCAGTATGTGTGAGTGGATGGTCTCTAGCGAAGGCAGGGTGCTATTTTGTGATGGGAGGGATGCTTGTACATGTATAGGGCATAGGAAAGTGAAAGGTTAGTGTCTGTGAATTGGCCCTTTTGAGAGGTGAGTTAGTGACTGTGTATAGAGGCCAAAATAGGGGGAATTGGGTGTGTGAGAGA